GGACCCGCGCCTCGCCGGCGGCCTCCCCGCGGGGAAGGCCTCCCCCGGCAGCCCCCGGGAGCCCTTCTTCAAGCCCCCGTCGCCGGCGGCGCCCAGCCCGGGGCTGCCGGCGTCTCCGAAGCGCCTGGACGCCGTCCCGCTCAAAGAGGAGCGCGAGGGCCTGGCGAAGGCCGTGGGAAGCCCGCAGAGCATGTCCAGCGCCGAGGAGGAGGAGGAGGGCGACGACAACAACGACTCCCCTTCCTCCAACTCCTCGCGGCCCCTCAAGGTGAGGATTAAAACCATCAAGACGTCTTGTGGCAGCATCACCAGGACCGTCACCAGGATCTCCTCGGATTCGGAGCCGGGCTCCGCCAAGGGGCCGGCGGAGCAGAGCCCCCAAGAGACCTCCCTGGAAGCTGCTGCTTATCCAGCCGCGGCGGAGAAGGAAGATGGAATGGGGCTGGATATCCCCAAGGAGAAACTGGAGCTCTCCAGCCCCTTGAAAGCCGTGGAGGGCCCCAAAATCGTCAGCGTCCAGCTGGGGAACGGCACGAAGATCAAGGGCACGGTGCTGCCCGTGTCCACCATCCAGAGCGCCAGCAGCGCCATGCTCATCGCGGCCAGCGTGGCCCAGCAGAAGTCCGTGGTGCTGCCGGGCAAGGCGGGCAAGGCCGTGGCCAAGAACATCCTCAACCTGGTGCCGCAGGCGCTGCCCAAGGCCGACGCGCGGAGCGCGGTGACTACCGCTGCCTGGAATGTGGCGACTCCTTCGCCCTGGAGAAGAGCCTGGCCCGCCACTACGACCGGCGCAGCATGCGCATCGAGGTGACCTGCAACCACTGCACCAAGCGCCTCGTCTTCTTCAACAAGTGCAGCCTCCTCCTGCACGCGCGCGAGCACAAGGACAAGGGCCTGGTCATGCAGTGCTCGCACCTCGTCATGCGGCCCATCGCGCTGGACCAGATGATCGGGCAGCCCGACATCACCCCGCTCGTGTCGGTGGCCTCCTTCCCCGCCGGCAAGGTGGCCGCGGTGGCCCAGGACGCCGTGGCCGCCGCCAACGGGGCGCAGGAGCTGCCCATCCTGCCCCTGAGCGGCGCCTCGGAGCAGAGCAGCTACAGCTGCTTCCGCTGCCTGGAGTGCAAGGAGCAGTGCAAGGACAAGGCCGGGCTGGCCGCGCACTTCCAGCAGGCAGGGACCACGGGGACCACGAGCAGCACGGTAAGGACACGGGGTGGCTGCTGGCAAAAACCGCTCCCGGCTGCGCTGCGGCGTCCCCCTGCCGCCTTCCGGGTGCTTTCCAGCTGGAATGCTGGAAAACCGCTCGGCGGAGCTGGGAGCCGCAGCGCGGAGTGGCCAGGGGGGGCGTGAAAAAGCGGA